GGAGAAGGAAAGGAACTGCTCATGATCCTAAGCATACCACCTCATCAGTGAAGCATGGTGGTGGTAGTGTCATGGCGTGGGCATGTATGGCTGCCAATGGAACTGGTTCTCTTGTATTTATTGATGATGTGACTGCTGACAAAAGCAGCAGGATGAATTCTGAAGTGTTTCGGGCAATATTATCTGCTCATATTCAGCCAAATGCTTCAGAACTCATTGGACGCTGCTTCGCAGTGCAGATGGACAATGACCCAAAGCATACTGCAAAAGCAACCAAAGAGTTTTTATAAGGGAAAGAAGTGGAATGTTATGCAATGGCCAAGTCAATCACCTGACCTGAATCTGATTGAGCATGCATTTCACTTGCTGAAGACAAAACTGAAGGGAAAATGCTCCAAGAACAAAGCAGGAACTGAAGATAGTTGCAGTAGAGGCCTGGCAGAGCATCACCAGGGATGAAACCCAGCGTCTGGTGATGTCTATGCGTTCCAGACTTCAGGCTGTAATTGACTGCAAAGGATTTGCAACCAAGTATTAAAAAGTGAAAGTTTGATTTATGATCATTATTCTGTCCCATTATTTTTGGTCCCTTAACAAGTGGGAGGCACATATGCAAACTGTTGTAATTCACACACTGTTCACCTGATTTGGATGTAAATACCCTCAAATTAAGGCTGACAGTCTGCCGTTAAAGCACATCTTGTTTGTTTCATTTCAAATCCATTGTGGTGGTGTATAAAGCCAAAAATATTAGAATTGTGTCAACGTCCCAATATTTATGGACCTGACTGTATATAGTCTCCCATTATATTGTAAAACGCTGAGCAAACTGTCGGCGCTATATAAATCCTGTATAATAATAAATATATATATATCCAAATTAAAATGGCTATAATTTTGTGACAGTAATTCTATCATAAGTGTAACTAAAAGGGGTTTCATTTCAAATCCATTGCGGTGGTGTATAGAGCCAAAAATATTAGAATTGTGTGGATGTCCCAATATTTATGGACCTGACTGTAGATCCCCTACCCCAATCATTGGATCTCAGAGAGGGGGCTGCGGCCTTCAGCTCCAATCACCTTTCCTTTCCATTCAGGTACAGGAGCTGCTGGCAATGCCTATGAGGGATGGTGTCTGGGTTCAGGGAAACCCAGGGAGAGCTCACTGTGCTGTTCATGAGTTGGACGGCAGGGTGTATCCTTCCCTCATGTCTTCGGCCCACCTCATCTCACAGGAGGTGCAGACTGAATGGGCCAAAGAGACAGAGGGAATAGCCCCATCGGGAATCCAGGGGTCAGCTAGAGTCTGGGCAACCCCTGTAGTCTTGATCCCCAAACAAAACCGAGCGCCAGCCCTGTGGGTGTGGTCCACCCCCTGCCCAGGAGCCATGAGGTAATGAAGCATCTGGAAGATGCCCGCTGTCTATCCATCATGGACCTGAGCAGAGGGTATGGGCCACCATCTCTAACCCAGGAGGCTCAGGACGAGTCAGCCTTCACCACCCCATGTGGCTTGCCTGAATTCACGGGGAAGCTAGTTTGGATTGAGAATGGAAATGACCTACAATGTGGAGTGGAACTGTGTGCAGTTGCACACTTTAGTGGCCTTGCGGTGTTTGGCCCTGTCTGGGAAGAGCAACTTGGGCCCCTGTCACTAAGCAGGAACAAACTGTCAGTGCCTAATCTGACAGTCGAGAATGGTAACTGTCAGAGGGGCATGTCAGTGGTTCAGCTTTGGGAACCACCGGTAGGAAGAGACCCCCAGAGGTCTGGGAATGGGGACACTGAGGCAGTTATGGCCTGGCCTACTCCCCAGGCCAAAAAGCAGGTTACGTCAGTTTTGGGTGCAGCTGGCTACGGTAAGACGCCTGGGTGCAGCTATCATGGCTCAGCTGGACCTGTGACTGACCTAGCAGACTGGAAACTGGCGAAACTGGTGTACTGGATTCTAGCAGGTAAAGAGGACTGTTCTTGGATGAAGGTACCTGTGGACACATCTGGGAGGCGAGTTCCACAATTCGCCTGCCCGGTTTCGGTATCCACAGGCGCCACTTCCTTCTGGTCAGATGTAGTCCTGGGCCAGAGAAAGGAGATAGGAGAGGGAAATCTCACTCTCTATCGGTAAATAAAGTGCAGCGCTGAGAAAGGATAAATGAATAAATAAATAATGTGAATAAATCAAAGTTCGTTCAGAATAATTCGTTCACTCGATGGCCTCTAGTAAATGACACAACTGGAAATTTCCACAACAGCACGTATGTCTAAGAGCTTGTGACAGGAAAGAAATGGCAGAAGTGCGCACTCACCGACTGCACATAGGAAATGCGCATAAATGTAACACCATGGAGTGTAAACAGCAGGCAGATGGTGGGTTTCCCTCAGATGAATGGTCATCAAGCTTGAGTGAAGTGTAACTCTGCTGGATCCAGAGGTCTCCTTTAGGGATGTGTGGATATTCAGCCTGGATACAGGGCTCCCTCCTGGATACTGGATGTACTGTGGGTTTAATAGCTCCTCCAATAGGAGCCAAAAAAAGGGGGTACCAATAGTGTAGTAACTTCAGGTATTTATTGAATAAACATGATAAAAACACAGGGTGCAGGTACAGATACAAAGTGCCAAATATTAAAGCAGAGTACTGCAGTACTGACCCTTAAGCAAGAAGGCCGCCGGGCCTCCTCGTGGTCCCGGCGGCGTTGACGTCACACGCTGTTAGCTCCTCCTGAGGCCTTTCGTGCTAAAGCACATTGTCAGAGGGGAGGCTAACCTCCCCTAGCCTCTGTACCTGCACCCTGTGTTTTTATCATGTTTATTCAATAAATACCTGAAGTTTTTATTGGGAGACCTCTGGATCCAGCAGAGTTACACTTCACCCAAGCTTGATGACCATTCTTCTGAGGGAAACTCATCATCTGTCTGCTGTTTACACTCCATCTGGCGGTTACATTTATGCACATTTCCTATGCGCAGTCGGTGAGTGCGCACTTCTGCCATTTGTTTCCTGTCACAAGCTCTTAGACATACGTGCTGTTGTGGAAATTTCCAGTGGTGTCATTTACTAGAGGCCATCGAGTAAACAAATCATTCTGAACGAACTTTGATTTATTCACATTATTTATTCATTCATTTATCCTTTCTCAGCGCTGCCCTTAATTTACCGATTGTTTCTTTAAGGTTATTGTGATTTCCTTTTAGTGTTCTAGCTGCTACTTTTTCTAGAGCGCTCGCTATTATTACTATACAAATCTCACTCTCTACATCGACAAGAAGCTACATCTCCATATGTTAGCAGATGACACCCCTGGACAGAAGTGTTTTGTGAACAGGTGGGCACCCCGGCAGTTGCCACGATATCCGGATAGTCACAGCCGACTGGTGCTCACCCATGACAACTCACTTGGTTGGCACAGCAGTGTTGCTAGGGAGAACAGCTTCCTTTTCACCCCATATCACCCCAAGGTGAACCTCTGGGCACAGTGGCTCTGTGCCCTGGTCAGGCAGACCCGCGGCAGGAGGCGGTTACGTCAGGAGGGGAATTGCAGTCCCCTCCCATGCAATCGTGCACACAGAGTCGGAAGCGGCCCTCCAGTTTGTTAAGAATTCTCCATGTTGTCCCATCATCTCCCCTCCCTCTCTTTTCATCCACAGTGACATGTGGTCAGTGTGTGTTGGCAGAGGTCACAGGCAGCCAAAGCACAGCAGGAAGCTCCGAGCTATAAAACCCCCAAGGGAGCTGGGTGCCTGGCTGTCTAAGAAACTGTGCAATCTGGCATATCGTAAAAGTATAACCCAAGCCTTTCCCTGAGTTCAAAGACATTCCAAAGGAGTAATAAACTAGATACCACATTCAAAATCCATTTTCCCCCATGTCTCATATCTTGGAATATGAGAGACTTACATAAAAACCAGGCATATCTTCAGGTTGGTCACGATAAGACAAACCGTTTGATATGTCACACTCCTTAACTGGCATACATAGAAAAGCAGGAAAGCATATCTCCTGAACCATTCAAGTGCATATTTCATGTTTCATCTCTAACCATTTCGCAGATGCGGCTGAGTATTAATATACTAGTGCCCAGACCGGCAAATGTACCTAGAAAAAGTTATGAGCCAAAATATAAGCTAGAGATTCTGGTTGTAACTTAGGTCTCCACCCAACACCCCTCCCCAAAAGGAGACCATTGGTTACTACTCCAAGGAGACACCCTGCTGGGATTTGCTAGAAAAAGGCTGTTATGCTTGGAGTGTGTGTGTGAGAGAAGAGAAGAGTCTCCTGCGTTTAACATCGAAACTAGCAGTAGAGACAAGAAATCCTTTTAACTTATGACACTTGAAGCTGCTTAACCCAAGGCGGACTGGCAAGTACTTTAACCCTCTAAATTCCTTTCTGTTATCTCTTTGCTGTGTTATTGCTCTCTGTATATTTATATATTTATTGGCTACATTTTTTTTCTGTAAATATTTTTATTGCACCCTTTTGACCTTTTAGTAATAAATCTTACTTTCTGAAAGTGTTGAACTGTTTCTAAAGCTCTTTAATGCAACTTACGAATTCCTGCCGCTGAAGAGCGCTACTATGTGTGTTTAACCCTCTGTATAACCTGTCTGCGGTGACAGTGGTATACAGACGATTATTTCAACCATCCTGGTGTTATTGCTGAGTTTCCTCTTTCTCTGTACAAAAAGGAGGTGGTGGCAGTGTGAAGGGTTAATTGCGTAATTAACCTGACCCAGTAACAATCTGGGTCAACAATCTGCCGGTACATTGATTGTGGTCCAATTAGCTGGAAAATCTTGCAGGGTGCAGCTGGGCATGTCATTGTTACGTACGTGACATCGCGGTTTTAGATTGGCTAGTCCTTCGGTCATGAGTTTGGTGAGAAGGGCTGGGGTCTGATGCCATGATCGTCACAAATTCCTCTCCTACTATAAATGTGTTTAGTACTTGGTGTGCTCATAAAGCATTTTGTAGAGGTTTGCTTTTGAAACTGGCCTCACAAGCGAGAGACTGCAGACACAGTGCAGGGAATGACCAGAGACTGCAGACAGTGCAGGGAATGACCAGAATGACTGCAGACACAGTACAGGAGATGACCAGAGACTGCGGACACAGTACAGGAGATGACCAGAGACTGCGGACACAGTGCAGGAGATGACCAGAGACTGCGGACACAGTGCAGGAGGTGACCAGAGACTGCGGACACAGTGCAGGGGGTGACCTGAGACTGCGGACACAGTGCAGGGGGTGACCAGAGACTGCGGACACAGTGCAGGGGGTGACCAGAGACTGCGGACACAGTGCAGGAGATGGCCAGTGACTGCGGACACAGTGCAGGGGATGACCAGAGACTGCGGACACAGTGCAAGGGATGACCAGAGACTGCGGACACAGTGCAGGGGATGACCAGAGACTGCGGACACAGTGCAGGGGATGACCAGAGACTGCGGACACAGTGCAGGAGATGACCAGAGACTGCGGACACAGTACAGGAGATGACCAGAGACTGCGGACGGACACAGTACAGGAGATGACCAGAGACTGCGGACAGTGCAGGGAATGACCAGAGACTGCGGACAGTGCAGGGAATGACCAGAGACTGCAGACAGTGCAGGGAATGACCAGAGACTGCAGACAGTGCAGGGAATGACCAGAGACTGCAGACAGTGCAGGGAATAACAAGAGACTGCAGACAGTGCAGGGAATGACCAGAGACTGCTGACCTTTGGGGAGGGAGGGGGAGCGGGTACCTGAATTTGACAGGTACCCGCTCCCACTTCCGCTGAGTTGTCCTTCCTTCCTTCTTCCCGGGCCGGCTTCTGTGACAGCTGGGTGCCCCCTGCGCATGCTCGAGAAGCGCTGCACTTTGTGAATGGCCCGGCGCCTTCTGGGACCTGTCATGTGTCCCAGAAGACACCAGATCATTCACAAAGCGCAGCACATGCGCAGTGGGCACCCGGCTGTCACAGAAGCCAGCGCGGGAAGACTGTGCAGCGCTGGAGCGAGGAACAGGTAAGGCCCTGCAGGAGAGAACAGCTGAGCGGCCCGGCCCGGTATTCTGACATGGTGGCGGCAGAAATACCGGACCGGCCACTTTATATTCGCTCCATAAGACGCACTGACATTTTCCCCCCTTTTTTGGGGGGAAAAAAGTGCGTCTTATGGAGCGAAAAATACTCCTCAGCCTACCACTGAGCTGATCCATAAATTCTTAAATAATCTACCACTGCCTAAATTAACACAGCAAAAATTTGAAGGGCTCAATCAACCCATGGAAAACGAGATAAGTGCGGCTATCAAAGCCTTGCCTAAAGGGAAGTCCCCCGGGGCTGATGGCTTTACTGCAGAATATTACAAGGAATTCCAATCTATTTTAGTACCTCATCTTAAAAGAACTTACGATGAAGCAGTGTCTACATCCACATTTCCACCTGAAATGTTAAGGGCTATTATCGTCACTCTACCCAAACCAGGGAAAACTCCCGACTGCCCTCAAAATTTCAGCCCAATTTCCCTGCTAAATACAAAAATTTAAATATATGCCAAAATCTTAGCGACTCGATTATTAAATATTACTCCTCTCCTCATCGAAGCTGACCAAGTGGGTTTTGTAAAAGGCCAACAGGCTGCAGATGGGACTCATAGGATTCTTAACCTGATGCGTTTGGTTGAGTCAAGGGTGCTTCAGGCGGTGTTCTTGGCACTAGACGCTGAGAAGGCATTTGACAGAGTCCATTGGCAATACCTAGATGCTACTCTAACTAAATTTGGTATTAATGGCTTCATAAAATCCGCCATCATGGCATTATATACGGTTCCCTCGGCTCAGGTATTCTCATCCAATGCCCTGTCCGCTCCCTTTAATATCACTGATGGTACAAGACAGGGTTGCCCTCTATCCCCCATCATCTTCTCGTTGGTGATGGAACCCTTAGCGACCGAGATTAGAAACAACCCATGGATCTCGGGCATCCAGGTAGCGTCCACTTCTCACAAAATTGGTCTGTTCGCGGACGATGTAATCTTAACTGTCACTGACCCAGTGAACTCCCTCACACAAATTTCAACCTCCCTGCAGTCCTTTAGTGAAGTATCTTACCACAAACTTAATATCACAAAATCTTGCGTCCTCCCAATTGCCATAGGGAAAGGTCCTCTGAGCTTCCTTAAGGACACATTTCCCTATCATTGGACCAATAAGAAATTGGACTATCTTGGTATCTGCATTTCAGCTCCATCATCGCATACCTTTAAAAATAATTTTAAAAAATTGTATCAGTCCACTATCTTGGAGATGCAAAGAATTGACAAATTTGAAATTTCGTGGATAGGTAGAATAGCGGCATTCAAGATGTTGATATTCCCCAAAATATTGTATTACTTTAGAACAATCCTGATTCTCATCCCTCGGACCTATTTCCATAAATTAGAGGTGGCTATAAAAAAGATTCATTTGGAAAGGGAAGAAACCACGTATTCCGTTTATGTCCCTTACCAAACATAAGTTCAAAGGAGGAATAGGTCTTCCAGTAATCTCTATGTATTATTATGCAACAATCCTAGACCAACTTCCGGCATGGTTTGCCCCTTTAGACAAATTATGGGTACAAATAGAACAGAATGTAGTCCCTAATAAAGATCTACGGGCACTTCTTCTGGCTAGATCGGTTACCTCGGTTAACTACCTTCCTTCTATCCATCACTGCAACATTGGAAGCCTGGATAACAGGTCTAAATACATTATCTAATTCATCCCCCAAACTTCAAATTAATATCCCACTCTCTACATACGAACACCTCATTCCAAATCTCAATACTAAACCTTTAAGGGACCTTGGTTACAACACTTTTACCGATATAGGAAATTCTGTCCCAAGTAAAGGATTATACCCTTTCCTGCAGATTAAAGGATTTCTCGGGACCGGCCCAAAGACTTGGCTGGACATAGACTCTAAGCTATGGCATACTATTACTAATCCCATTAGACTGAAAAATGGAATCTCCTGGTTCTATAAATTTCTACATTATGACAATGACCTAGCCATGCTAAGTTGTGCGGGAAAGTAGGAAAGGCATCTACAAAGTTCCTTCACACAAGATGAGTGGGAGAATGACATGAGCAGCAATTTGAGTATCACTAATTGTACCAACCACTGGGATTGTTCCCTGAAGCTATTGCATCGAGGCTACCTTACCCCATACAAATTATCTAAAATGTATCCCAATGTATCTCCACTGTGTTGGAAGAATTGTGGCAGCAAAGGGAACATTCTTCATATCATGTGGAAGTGTCCTTGCCTACAGACGTTTTGGCAAGAAATCTTTGCTCTTATTTCAGGGGTGTCAGGCACAATATCTACTCCAACACCGGGTTTAGCCTTACTTAACATCACTTTGAACCTTTTCCCAAGCAAGCATAGAACCATAATAGGTCATATCCTTATTGCCGCTGGACTGGCTAATACCACTAAATGGAAATCAACAATTATTCCTTCTATTCCAGAAGTGACACATAGACCCTGATTTACTATTGTGCCTAGGCGCATTTCCGTGGGCGAACATCTAATTTTTACTAGCGACCGTCTACTTTTACCCTGCTAAGAGATTTACTAAAGAGAAGCGTCAACAAGTAGACGCCAAATCGAATTTACTAACGAGACACAGATTAGGAATCGGACTCAAAAAGCAGACTTGCTAAGAGGCACGTCTAACACCATGAAAAATCACTGCAGAAACATGTTCACTTTGAAATTTGCTTTGCCAAATATCAGGACTTCACTTTAAACAATATCTGCCATTTAAAAAAAAAATTTAAATGTGTTAAAAAGTTTTTGTTTAAGCAAGTCGACACAGTAAAAAACTAGACGCTCATGCAGCTTATTTGGCCAATATAAATGCGCATGTGCAGAACACATTTTAGACGTCCTCTCTGGGCGCTTGCTTTTTAGCCGCTGTTAAATAGTAAATCTCTGTGTGGAGTCCACTGACAGCCGGCACTCGGTCACATCTACTATGTTTTAAACAAACAGCACTAGGCATATCTTTATGTATTCTAATTTGATTTCCTTAGTTCTACTGATTCTATTTTTGTTTCTTATCCTTTATAATTATTTCTGTAATAATTTTACTTATTTCGAAGGTATAGATAATATTTATTTTGACAGCTGAATGTAAAAATAAACGTCTGCAATAAAAAAAAAAAAAAAAACAGCGTGGGGTCCCCCCTCTCATCCATACCAAGCCCTTCAGGTCTGGTATGGATATTAAGGGGTAACTCCATGCCAAAGTTTAAAAAAAAAACAGCATGGAGTCCCCCACAATATCCATACCAGACCCTTATCCGAGCATGCAGCCCGGCAGGTCAGGAAAGGGGGGGGGGGCGAGTGAGCGCCCCCCCTCCTGAACCATACCAGGCCACATGCCCTCAACATGGGGGGGTGCTTTGGGGCAGGGGGGCTCCCCCCCCAAAGCACCTTGTCCCCATGTTGATGGAATTTGGAAGCCCCCTTTAACAAGGGGCCAGATCCTAGATCCCGCCCCCCATGTGAATGAGTCTGCGGTACATGGTACCACTACTAATTCACAAAAAAAAAACACAGTACAGGGTCTGTGACAAGTCCTTTAATAAAGCAATGTCCCCCGAAGTAGATCCAACATCAATCACGGCGACCCGAAAAAAGAAAAAAAAAAAAAAGCTCCGCTCTAGACAGAGGCTAGCTGCCTTATGCAGTGAATCTCTCTCTGACAGTTCTTATATAGGTAAGGGGCGGAGCCAGCTGGGGACATCACCTGAGTGACCCCACCCCATGTCACATGGGGCTGGGTCACTCGGGCAGGGTCACTTGGATGATGTCCCCGGCTTTTCTTTTCTTTTTTCGGGTCGCCGTGATTGATGTTGGATCTACTTCGGGGGACATTGTTTTTTTTAAAGGACTTGTCAAAGACCCAAAGACCCTGTACTGTGTTTTTTTTTTACACTACACTTTTGCTTTTTTTGTGAATTAGTAGCGGTACCGCAGACTTATTCACGTAGGGGGGGCGGGATCTGGGGGCCCCCTTGTTAAAGGGGGCTTCCAGATTCTGATAAGCCCCCCCACCCCGCAGACCCCCACAACCACCGGCCATGGTTGTGGGGAAGAGGCCCTTGTCCCCATCAACATGGGGACAAGGTGCTTTGGGGGGGAGCCCCCCTGCCCCAAAGCACCCCCCCCATGTTGAGGGCATGTGGCCTGGTATGGTTCAGGAGGGGGTTGGAGTACCGCTCAGACTCATTCACGTAGAGGGGGACGGGATCTGGGGGGCCCCCTTGTTAAAGAGGGCTTCCAGATTCTGATAAGCCCCCCGCTCGCAGACCCTTGTCCTCATCAACATGGGGACAAGGTGCTTTGGGGGGGGGTGCATGTGGCCTTGTATGGTTCGACGTGGAGTTACCCCTTAATATCCATATCAGACCCGAAGGGCTTGGTATGGATGGGAGGGGGGACCCCACACTGTTTTTTTTATTATTTTATTTAATAAAGGAAATTA